ACGTCCAGGTACTTCACTGTGATGAAAACCGTAATGCCTGTCACGAACCTTGGCTAAAATGGCTTACGAGTCTTAAACCTTTTAATTATTAACTGTTCCTGATCCTCTCATCATGCATTCGCGAGTCTTTACTCACTTTCTGATTAGCTTGTTTCAGGTAATGCTGGTCAAGTCTCTCATTTAATGATTTTGACGTATAATTTCTCGAGGTATACGTGATATTAGGGTTTTACTTATCCGATTCGGATAAATTTGCGTCAAGCCACACAAAAGCTATCTGTGCTTGCATTCCGTAATTGTGAACTGATAGACCAAAGAGGGAATGCAGCAGGTCAACATCCGCCAACTCATGTGTTACTCTTGTCAGAGAGAGAGAATAGTGGAATTTGACAGTCTCTTTTATAACGGCCCCGAGTTACGGAGAGCGATTTTGCGACAACCATATGTGAACCATAAACCCGCGGAATCCCAGTCCGGTATGATAACCACAAGGCTATTCCCGACTCATAGTTCACCACCATACTTATTTTAAAAATAAATCACAATTTGTAGTTGCCCAGTGACACACCGATAAACGTGAGAGCGTATAATGCTAAAATTTGAGGTTCGATGCCCACATCGAACACAATGCATAGAGTTTAATCTGTAACTTTGCACTAAAGCAAATAAATAGATTTTTATATATTCATAGGTGCGATTTACTATACTTACTCGCGTGATATTTGTATTTGCGGCTATTTCGTCTATGGCCAGGTGGTTAAGGTGCTTGACTCGCAATCTGAGGGTCACGGGTTCAAATCCCCGTCCCACCAAACATTCTCGCCCTTTCAACCGTGGGGGCGTTATAATGTGACGGTAAATCACAATATTCGTTGGTAAAAGAGTAGTCCAAAAGATCCCTCTAGTCTATCACTGATAAATTAGGGACGGTTAGCGCAGATAGCTCTCGTGTAGCTTTGTTCGAAATTCAAAAAAATATATATTCTTTCTCTCTCTCTCTCTTTTGTTGTTGTCTTGTTTTTTTTTGTGTTGTTGTTGTTGTTGATATTAGGAAAGAAAAACATATAATAAATTGGTAGTTTTTCTTACTTACATTAAACCTTTGCGGCTACTTTTCAATTATTGTATTAATTTACGCTTGAATATCATTTGGTAAAAGTTTATCAATTTAAGCACCAAAAAAATATAGAATAGAAAGTAAAGATCAAACCGGTAAAAGTTTGGAAGAAACATAAGACTGAAACCTCGACATATTACATCGGAAATTAATTAGAGATAATTACTTGTATGAAAGAGAGAGAACTTTGAAAATGTTATATTTAGAGGCGGGGTTGATACTGGTAGAACTCTTGAACAGTGAAGACTTTTGAACCCTTTGAACGAATCATTTACTGAGGAGGAAGTTACAGAGCACAGATAGCCCATTGTGTAGCTTTGTGCTTAATTACAAACAAACTCATCGGACATGTAGTGAAGACAGTCTTTATATAATCTATTTTGTACAGTCTATCCTCTAACAGACTTGAGAGTTATTTTAAAACCTGAAAATAAGATGAACTATTTTTTTATAATTTAAAGATAATATTTCTGCAGGAAAAACATCTAACGTTGTTTATGAATTAACTTGTCCTAATTGTGAACTTGTGATGTATCTAAGATCTACCACAAGGTGGCTATAAACTGGAATACGAGAGCATCCAAATCGACTAGGAGACAACAAATTAAGTGTAAAAGAGCATGTCAAGTGTAGCTGCAACGTAGAATTAAAAAATGGGCATTTCAGGATTCCGGAATAAAATAACAATGAAAAATATATTTGTATCGAAGAAACTGTATTAATTGAGAGGCTAAGACCTCAAATTAATGGAGTTGGATCATGTATGAAACTTTCGTTAAACCTATGATACATCCGTTCCAAGTGTTTTCATTACAATATATCAAATTCACTATTTCCACAAAAACGTTCACATGATTTAACATTACTTTATAAAAAACATGAGAGAGAACTTCTGTGTTTGGCGTATTTAAAAGCGTAAATCAAACTAATATAACAATTACAAAAATTGTAATCAATTAGAGGAATATTGTTGCTCGCGTCATCTAGTGGATAAAAATGCTATTATGAAACAAATATTAACCAAGAGAAAAATGTAAAAGTTCTGCTATATATTTCACTTAATAGAAAGCCTGAAAAGTTTGTACATGTGAATGGATTTCATCTACGGTAAGCCATTCGTTTAGAAAAACAAAGCATAATATGTGTGTTACTGTACATAGTTGGAGTAAAAGGTTCATATAGAGTTTAATAGCAGAGTTATTTTATGTTGTTCGAGATACTTTATGAGTTTTATATATTAATTATTCGAAACTATATCTAGATTAACATTAAAAATAACATTAAAAATTAACATGAAATTATTGTACTTAATAAGAGTTTGGGATTTTTGTTATTAATATGAGCTTATTTTTACAACTGCTAAGCTAGTTATTGCCTAGAATCTTTTTGTGTTAAACGATACCTTTTAATAATAAGTATGATTAGAAATTTGTTTTCACTCAAAAAAGGGGAATTCGGTAAGGAGAAACGTACTAGTTTAAATAAGGACTTGAACCGTTACTTAAACGTGGGAAAGCTTGCGCCACTGAACATACAAAATACAGGCAACCTAGTGTTCATAGCATGTATATCAGTGTTAGCATTTTTTTCTGCTATGCCTTAGGTCAAAATATCATGCTTTGCAGAAAGGAATTAAGATACTTTGAAAGAACGATGGCAGTAGGAAGCCGTCTGGCACGTGGGTATATAACAATCACCACAAATATTGCTATTGTGTCGACAGTAAAAATATTTAAAATTATGTCATTATGGACCTAATAAAACCTCAAGTTCAAAGTGCAACAGAGACAGGAAGATCATCATGTATGAGCAATGAAAATATGTTCAGAATTCAGCCTTGGACAAAGCATCTAGTACAAGAAAATAACTGGATGACAGGAGCTCAATCATCTGGGATACCACAATAAAGTATCTATACACAAGCAATTCATCATTCTGGACGTTTCCACATACAACAGTGCAATTACTATAACCTGTGACTAGAGATAAATGACCAAAAGCATATGGTCAGACAAGTCAACACTAACTCTTTTTATATTAAAAAGCTCAATTGGTTCGAATTGGAATGTTTGCAGATGGTTTCATTATTAGGTGAATCATATTTTCTACTGTATATTTTGTTACCCACTATAATGATCAAATTAAACTTATGAAGCCGTATTTTCAACTAGGTGGCGTGGGCATGTCTTCTTTAAACATACTTTTTTAAAGCTCATAATAATTTAAGCCTACTAGATTCTAGTCGCGTTTTTAATTATTACCCATTTGAATTGTCCCTAACTTAGACTCTCTTTTATCTCTGAAAAACATTAACTCTCTAACACTCATTCCCATCTAACATAAATATTTTATTTGTCAGATTTTATTGACATCCTTCCTTAATAAATATTTAACCCTAAAATCGAGAGTCGATCGTATGTGCTTTTGTGCCAACTTTTAACTAGGTAAAATCTGCTAGATCAATTTCTTATAAATCTTTAATATAAGTTTATGGTTCAATTGCTTCAACTTCGATCAAAAAGAAACCCATTGTATCTGCATCTACAATGTTTGCATTTCATGAAAACACCACACCTTTCAACCTTGGACTTGCAACTGAGACCAAGGTAAACATCTTTCGCACATTCTCCCATTGAATATTGATTAGTTTAGCTGATTGAAAATTGTAAGTAAGATATTTAGCAAGAAGTCTTGTTTATTTTTTATCTCAAAGCTACACAATAAGCTATCTGTGCTTTGTCCACTGCAGATTGTTGAACCCCAGATTTTAGCGTAGTAAGTCTGTGAACTTACTGATGACTCACCAAGGGACTGCAAAAGGCAGTGGAATTTCACCAAAATAGCGATTCAAACGGTGGAAAAACTTATTTTCAAAAAAATAAAAAAAAAGTTTCCCTGCAAGAGATGAACCGTTTAATCCAAAAGTTTTTATTCCAAATTATCGTTGAAAGGAAGTTTTAGTAATTTTTACCGGTCTGCTGGATACTGTGATGACAAAAATAGTCACTAACTTCTGTACTGTCAATTCCAAATTTTAAGGTTTAGAAATAGACAGTCTTTATCAATTATGACAAATGTCAGCTAAAAACAGTGTCTTTTTAAACTCGGCTCAATAAACCAAAATATCTTTGTAAAATGCTTATATTTATATAGATCTTAACTGATTTGAAATTATATGCAAGCGAAAAAATACGTAAATATAATGAAAAGTAGATTATTGTATTATGAAAGCGGTTATAGTGCAAGAGTAAATAGATCATGACAGCCATAAACATATTTGTTTTAATATACAAAGATATTAAGTAATATCATTGGTTGATGTGTGAAGTAGATTTTTTTTAACTAAATAAGAATTGCGACTCAACAGTGACACAATAATCCATGTTTATGTATTAACTATTATGAATTTAAAACAAAGCCTAAAGGCAAATTCCAACATTGGGTTAGAGCGTATCTTGAAAAGCATAGCAGTCTACATGTCAGTTATTTATTACAACAGAAGTTTTACGTGGATTAGCTGTCACCAGGTTATAGTTTTCATTTCTTCATTAAATTTGTCTCCTAGCATATTATTAATTTACTAATTGAAATATAGTCCTGTTTGCTAAAGTTAAGCTTGGGGCAAACATGAAATAATCTTTTAAAATGTTAAAACTTTTGTTTTCGCCTTTTTTTTTTCTTTCTGTCTGTTGACATTTACCTACACTTTTAACACAACCAGAGTTTCTTGTAGATCTTCAGCATTCGATTCAACATTCAAGAAAACAACAACAACAAAAATAAACTTTTCTCTACAATAATAAACATCAAATTGATAGAAAACTTTCCAACGACTCGCGAATTGTTTTGTTAAGTTGCAAATGTTAACACCAGGGAGCCGAAAGCGAAAGTTAGGGTAGTTGTTAAGTGTTACTGTTTTTTCAGTTGGTGTACATGTGAATAGTTTGATGTGACAAAACCAGTTAAATATTTTAACGTTCAACTAAATCAATTTAAATAGGTTACTTCGGAAAATTCATTAGGAAGATTTGTTGATGAAGATTCATCGTATCTGTTACCATTCTAGCAGTGACGTGCTCTCAATCTTCAACCATAAGTTTAAATTACGGTAACTTTCATTTTCAAAGACTCGACAACCAGTTCTACGGGTTAACAAGTAGGTGTACCTTGATTAATCGAAACATATTTTGAAGCATCTGATTTGTGTAAGTCAGTGTTTCTCAACCACTGTTCTGTCATAACAACTTGTCAGTATGTGAGATTTCACGGAAACTAACAAACAAAAAGTGATAGAATATTCATATGTAAATCGTGATGTTTTTTCTCTCTATTTGCATTTTACTTGTTTTATTGGTCCGCGACATTTTGAGGAAGCAGCGAGTTTATCCCGGATGCCATATGATAAAAGTCGAGAAACGCTGGTTTAAATAATTAAAGTTGGAAGTAATAGTGATACTAATAATATGTTGTTACACTTACAAATACGCTTTATTATGAATGGAGTTTGGATTTATTACACAATTTTTCAGCTGGTAAAACTGTACTATAGTCTGGCCATATCTCCTTTTTTGTATTGTTTCATGGTTTTAATATCATTATCAGGCTAGTGTCAACTTTGAATCAAGTTAGATGATCATTGTGATTGTAAGCAACAGTAGGTGTGATTGTGGCCATTGCCATATTATTAAACGTGCTATTATAGCAGATTGTAATTCTTTACTAACAAACACTTAAATAAAAGCCACATTTAATTTTAAACCGTGTGTTTAGCACATTGATTAATTGACTGCCGTTATTGCTTTCTACTAGGTCTATATGAAGAAGACCCAGACCGCCATGGATAAAAGGCATTGTCAATCTTATTTTGAAATACTTTTCCTCATTTTATCACTATCACTTATCCCTTAGTCTCAGTTAAAGCTGCTGATTGTAAAATATACTTCAGTTAATACATTACATGCTATATACTGTAATCTAACCTATGTTCATATGTTATTTCCAAGTGAAAACAAAGGGCTATTTGACCCAGTTTTACTGTTCTATTTCTACTACCACATTGCTATGTAGCAAAAGAATAGCTGCCAGTTTTTGACAAAAAAAAACACTTATGTTTAATTTGCAAAGCAAAAAACAATAAAAATCTCTGTAGCTTGAAGATATCCAAAATTTTATAATGAAAATAAGTGAGTATGATATTCTTAAGATAAAATGAACAACTGAAATGTGTATACTGTGTAACAGAAGTGTGCACAAAGCCATGTGGAAATGCATGTTGTGTTTGTAGATTGTGATGATCAGCAGATTAAAAAAAGTATGATAACTATAATGATAATGATCGTAACGAACATAAGCTTCACTGCAATATGAGCTTCAGATGCTGGTTGGCTGACTTGTGTACCTGCTATATTATTGAGATTTAGGTTTAGAGTTCAGTAACTGAACATATTGTGATGAATAAGGTCAACTGGTCCTATCCAATTAGATTCACGGTATGGCTCATAAGTTTATCCGATTCATATATGACCTTTAGAGTCGGTATATTGTAACCTAAGTGCTCACTATATTTCCTGTCCCTCAAATGAACACATCTACTTAATACTTGAGGGACAACAAGGTGCCCCTTGGCTCATTGTGGCTGACTTGGTCATTTCACCAAACCTCCATCTGCCTATATTCAGCCATCACTCCCCAGAGTGTGTAGTTTCTTTAATGTATGTAATTTATTTATTTTTTCATCAGTTGTTGATTGCCCATCTTGTTTTCATTAAGTAAACCTATGTTAAAGGAAAACCAATATTAGAATGGGAGTTGAGCCTTTAAAAATTAAGATTGGAGAATTCATGTTGGTGGTTATGAAATGGTTGAACATCTAAATGCTTTTTATTATCAGTTTTAACAAGGAAAGATGGATAACCCTCTTGAAGTTAGGATTAAGTACAATGGAAAACTGAAGGAAGATATAGTACCAGGACCAGATATTTGTTCTAGGATAATGCAGAAAATAAAAGAGCAGATTTATGAGCTACTAACCTTGATTTTTAATGAATACATTATAAATAGTGATGTGCCAAAAGATTGGAGATTAGCCTGCATCACTCAATATTTATAAGGAGAAAATGCAAAGTGTTGAAATACTTACCATAATTGTACTTCAGCGGTTGGGAAATTATTAGAGCTTGTAATTAAAGAGATTCTAGGAGAAAGGCAAGGTTCATATCATGTCGGCATAGAATTTGAAAGAGAGAGAGAGTCTTATCTTTAAAATTTTCTTTTATAAGGTAACACATGAAGAGTAATTTAAGAATGATTGCAGTTGTTGGAGAAGAGATAGGCTAGTTAAATGAATTGAGAATTGGTTTGGTTGTAGAAGGCAAAAAGTTGTTATAAGTGGGATGAAATCACAGTACACTTGTGTTACAAGTGAAATATCTCGGGGGGTTCTATATTAGATTACTTGCTATTTCTCATTAATGACATTATAAAGGAATAACAAGCAAATTGGTTTAATGTCCAAATAATATTACATTAATGGGTGTTTCAAATTTTAAGTAGTGAAAGTTTCCCAGAGATATTTGGAGTGTTTGGTTTGCTGAGCTGATACTTGGCAGATGCATTTAAATGTTATTAAACATATTGGTTATCATAACAATAATTATTTTTATAGCCTTGCTGAAGAAGATTTAAACAGAATTGATAAGGAAAAAGATCTGGACATAACTCTTACAAAATATAATGACTTCTAGGCTGTGTGTATAAGCTATTCATAAAGCAAGCAGGATTTTAGGTTGTACGTGTATACATAGAAAATATTGAGTACAAGTAGGTCATCAGTTCACCCTATAAGGACTGGTTTGGCCTCATTTGATATATTGTGTTCAAATTTGGTCAATTTATCTAAGAAAAGGTGTTAAGTTGTTGGCAAAGGTTCAGAGAAAAGGTGATGTCATGATAATTCAAAATTGAGAGGGACAGTCATATAGAGATATGTTGAAATCTGTTGACATGAAGAGGAGTTTGGGAACACATGATTCAGGTGTTTAAGATTGTTAGAAGCTTAGAATGCATAAATCTAGATAATGATTTCAGAAAAGTTATGGACACTAAAAGTAGAGGACAGAAATTTATGATATAGAAAACTTAGAAACAACCACAGTTCAGGCACTGTTACTTTTCTAATAGATTACTCAACCTATGGAATACTTTTTCAAGTGTTTAGAAACTGAATCATTGAAAGAGTCTTAAGAGGAAATTGGAAGAGTATTTCGGAGATCACAGTTGGATATAAGAAAAGAAGATTTTTTTAATGTAGTTTAGGGCACTGGGAGAAAATGAAATAGCCTAAATGGGCCAAGTGGTCTCATTGTATCTTTTGTAAATAAAATGAAAGTACCATGTGGGTCAAAGAAATTGACATTCTTTTATATTATTGATGCAACCAAACTTTCTCAAGACAAACAGCTAAGATTATATTGTTTCACTAGTTCAGCTTGACATTTAATTGGAATCTCTACAGTGAATCTAATACAAATATGTAGAGACATGTTTGCCTCTTATGAGCAATATAGTGTATTAGTGACATCCTGTCTTTGAGGACTTGCTTAAAAGACACCATTTTAAATTTGATCATCAAAATAATAATACTAGAATTTTCAGAGGTATATAAAATCACAACAATAACTGTAAAATTACCTAATAACCTATGTGCACTTGAAAGGCAGTAACTCGGGTGCATTTAAAGTTAGCCAAGGTACACTTTGTAAGATAGACATTTCTGGTAGTATTTTTCACATAAAATAATAAGCAGTTACTAAACTGTCAATTTCTTTAAAGATCTTGTTGCTAGAAAAAATTCTTACAAAGCTTGGAAAATTCTTTGTGACTAAAGCTCCTTGAACAAATGAGATTTATCCCAAACCTTGGAGATTGCTTGGAAAAAGAGTTAATTGAGGCTTTTAACTTTTATTTTCAAAGCTCTGTTGATGCTGGGGAAAATTGCAATGATTGAAAGAATTTTAGTATTATTCTTTGTTTTGTTTAAAAAAAGAGCACTAGAGAAGATTCTGGAAACTACAGACCAAGGAATTTGTCTTTTTGTTGTTTAGAATGTTTTGGGATCTGTTGTCAGAAGTCATTTAGAAAAGCAGTTGAAATATTGTCATTTCAATAGTAAATTAGTTAAAAAGAGTTTTGCTTACCATTGTGATGAAGTTTTTTTATGGAATCTCTTGGCTATTGTTTATAACATACCTTGGTTTCATTTATTTAGAACTTTGAATTTAAGAACAATAAAGTTATTGTAACCTTGTATTAGACCGAAGAGGAACCAGAGTATTCTGTGCAGTTATGGTCCCTTACTGCTAGAAAGATAACATGTTAGAAAAACTGATGGTCTAGTTCTTAAAATGATAATTAGTGTACATCTCTAAGTTCTCAGGAGAGACTTAGACTTGTTTTTCTCTAAAGCACAGAAGAACTAGAGAGGAGGGCTCAAGCATGTCTACCAAAGGTTTTGCATCCCATTCGAGAACTCTGCCCCCTAGTTGAGATATCAGGATTTAGTGTTTTAAGATTTTATACATTTTACTAAATTGTGACTCCCACTGATATGAAAGTGTTAATTGTGTGAGAAAAACAAGGTAGTCATGCTATGGAACTTCAGACTGAGGGGTGTGTTTAATAGTAGTTGAAATAGCCCAAGATAAATCTGACTTTCTTTATTATTAATAAGAATAAATAAACATTTCTTAAATGCAAAAAAGCCTATTTCTTTTGTATTTAATAACACTTGCTCCCACCTGACTGCAATGAAAAATTCCAGCATTGCCACTGGGAGGACTTCATTCTGGTCTTGGAAATTGTTAAGACTTGTCTCAAGACTGTAACAAAGAAAACTGTGTAGAATATGTATCAAAGAATTTAGCTAATAGGCTTAAGATATCACTTATAAACAGAATGTTATTATAGTTAAATAAAACCTATTTAAAGTTGTAGTCATCAGTTTCGGGCTTATACAAAGCATCATTACTCCTTGTGGAAAAAAATAATGTCTTGTTATGTTCTCCATTGTTTATTGTCAGAGATAAGATATAAGAACATTTATTTTTTTTAATGTGTAGGTATTTATAAAATATTAGAATGAGAAAAAACAGCAACTTTACTATACAATCTTTTGTATTTCAGTTCATTTCAATTAACAACATGTATCACATCATCTGGTAGTCCGTTTCATATGTTTCTTAATTCAACGGAGAAACAAATTTGTCTAAATTCCTTATTTACTTCCAGCCTTTTTGTCACACCATTCAGATGCACATATACAGGGTGATTTAAAAAAGTGTTTACTCTTATATGGGATTTTCTGTTACTTTGCCCATATTGTTCGTAACTATATGAACAGGATTTTTCCAAGGAGGTGGCCTGCCCATTCACCAGATTTAACACTATGTGATTTTTGGCTGTGGGGTATGGATAAAAAAAACGTGTGTATGCCACATTATCTCTGAGAAAGGATTACAGAAGTCATGCAATCAGTACCACCTGGGATATGCTCTAGAGCTGTGGATGCAACATTTGACCACTTTCAGACATGCATAGATATTTGTAGAGAGCAACTTGAGACTGTATGAAAAAAAGGAAATAAGAAATATAAACCCATACAAGTGTTAACATTTTTTGGGAATCACCCTGTACTGTGGGTCCCATATGTCTTTAAACCGTAAACTTGTTCAATTTATATATGTGTGTGTAGTGTTTTTGTACTTATTTGTGTATTTAGAAATATTGTCATTGATACAAGTTGGAGTTGTGGTATATTCAGTTAAAGCTGAGTTAACCCTTGAACTATCAGATACATCCACTAAATAACTGAATATTTGGTCAACATATCAATCACAAAGTGCTGCTAAGTCTCATATTAACTGAGTTATGATGTTAAAAGAAATAATGAGACCGAACACAAAGTGAACCGTCTTTTTTCTCTTTTTTTTTTTAACTAAACCCAAACAAAGTGTTTTTAATTGCTTCTCATTACTCTGGATTGTTGCATTTACTGGATTTTCTCAGTTGATTCTCCTTCAAGATCTGGTTCTAGGCCATCTGTATCCAATGTTTGTTAGTTCACAAGAAATGTTGCATTTACCCAGAGCAACTAGTGCCACCCAAGTGATTGGTCATTCTTGTTTTAAAAAATAAATGAGGCTATGACATCTAGATATAATAACCTAAATGACCACTGAAGGACACTGCGGTCGACGACCTTGCAATATTGCAGCAATATTTACCACGAACAGATCAGTCAGGCAGCCAGAAATAAATCAACGGCTTGGTAAACCCCATATTATATGAAACGTGTACATGTACAGAACAAAGAATATGCTCAAAATAAATATTATAATGTAACAAGAATAAAGAAATGCTTGTTATTTTCACATTCCGCCTCATAAGTCAGCATTTGGTAGGTTATTAATTACATTTAGAAAGTACAGACTGATTTCATGTCCTTCAGTTTTTGTCTCTAAATTTGCAAGTCGAACTGCTGATTAAAATATTTTAATGAATTCATTAATAATTAAAACATTTGTTAAAGTCAATCAAGCACATGTTAAATGTTTTGACACTGAATTAACATTAAAGGGTGTAAGGAACATTAAGGTCTATTCAAAGTGTAAATGATACTGATCCACGTATTGTGCATGGTCATAACATGGTATAGTGTTAGTGTGTTCAATGAGTGTGTAGTTAAACATAAGTCACACACACAGTTATCAGTTCACCTTCATGTGAAATCAAAATGTGAGGTAAACATTATACATGATCCTGCGTATTGTCATATTTGTAGAAACTGACTTAATGTTAAACACCATAAAATGTACATTATTAAAAAAATAAACACCGTATTTAGTTTAATTAAATTAAATTATTTAATCAACACACCTTCACAGTTTTCAATTTATAGACAGATTTTTTTTTTTCTAGATTATTCAAATTTCACAGAACTATTCTGTGAAAGTGTAGAACCACTGTCATTTGTGTAATGGTTAACTCTTCATTGTGTCTTAACTTGAATATCAAAGACACTGTATAACTTACTGTAACAGAACTATTCTATGAAAGTGTAGAACCACTGTCATTCGTGTAATGGTTTACTCTTCATTGTGTCTTAACTTGAATATCAAAGACACTGTATAACTTACTGTAACAGAACTATTGTGTGAAAGTGTAGAACCACTGTCATTTATGTAATGGTTCACTCTTCATTGTGTCTTAACTTGTATATCAAAGACACTGTATTACTTACTGTAACAGAACTATTCTGTGAAAGTGTAGAACCACTGTCATTTGTGTAATGGTTAACTCTTCATTGAATCTTAACTTGAATATCAAGGACATTGTATAACTTACTGTAACAAAATCACTAGCTTTTGTACATGCTAATGAAGTGCATATAAATTTTTAGGTATTTTTTTTTATACAATACATGCAGTATTTTACAAAATCTTCCAAAATACTGGAAAGAGAAGGGTGGATATTCAAAATGATATTATAAATTCTTAACTAAAACTAAAGAAACATTTGTAAGGTCAATCGTGTTTATTGATACTTGTGTTAGAAGAAATCCGTGTCATTTTTAAACCTAATATCCAAGTTTTTAGCATTGTATTAAGTATTAGTTATGTAAGTTTTCTTATTCTGTTAATCAAGGAAATTATATTATTATCTTTTACTACTAACCAATTTGAAACAGTAAATCTTGGAACCACTTCTTAGCATTGTAATATTTTATATTACAGGAGATGGATCAAAATACACGTTCAGAGGATGGAAGTCAAATAGGACTGGAAATTGTTGACACACCTACGTCAAATTATACGTTATCTCAGGCATTGGAAAAGAAAGCAGAAGAAGAACTCATGGAGAAACCTGAATGGAGAGCTCGTGATATCCAAGCTCTCAGAGAGATGTTGCAGGGTACATTTTTTTCTTTGTGTGATATCAATATGTGTAAATTTTTTATCTTTTTTTTGTATGCTGTACCAGTCTAACTGCAGAAGAATAAATGGTTTAGTAAGTTTCATCTTTGTTATATTTTGAACATTTAGGAGCAAATAAAATTTTCTGAAGGTGAGTTAATAACATTGTTAGGTTATAAAATAACTAAATGATGGAGTTTTGTTGGACTTTTGTATTTCTAATTTTCTTGTAAAGCCTTTTAGCATGGCAATAACACAGTACATCCATCTAAATAATTTTTAAATATTGAAAAGTTAAACTTTTGCTTGCTTTTAACTTTATGTGCCAATTATGAGGATATGTGTAACAGTGTATAAAAAGTGCCTCATTAGGACTTGTTTAAATAAACTTCAATGATACAATGTAGTTCTTCCTGTCATCGTTTTTAAGGTTTTTCTTCCTTGTATTTGATCATCTCACTCTTAGTTTCATCTTCTACTTTTTTTCCTCTGGTATCGGTTTCAGCATTACCCATATCAAGAATATTTAACTGCATTTTCTTTATAATTGAGACCATTATTTGCTTATTACCTTGTGCAGACTTCTCCACATTATCTTATGAATTTCATTTTATAGGGTTATGCTTATTCTTATTCTCAAGCCTACCGATTGTTTCTTTTTTTGTACAAAGTTCTGAAATAACTTCAGTTCTTGAATGCACCTTATTAATACAGGGCTTATAATCTCAATGCCATTACTTTGATAATCGGTTCTGAAATAACTTCAGTTCTTGAATGCACCTTATTAATACAGTGCTTATAATCTCAATGCCATTACTTTGATAATCGGTTCTGAAATAACTTCAGTTCTTGAATGCACCTTATTAATACAGTACTTATAATCTCAATGCCATTACTTTGGTAATCGGTTGCAGCTTAACCATTGGACTGAACTTGTAATGGAGAAGGAATGTGAACTATAATTATAAATTTACAATGTATACCTTCAGAAGCTTTTAGTCAAATGTACAAGTCTGTTGTAAACAAAAAATCAAATATGTTGCAAACGTATTTATATTTAAGAAATATCTGTGAATTGTCGACATCAATCTGACTCAGACTCTGACAGTTTGCATTTTGCATAACCTCCAGATCCTCCAAAATGGAAATCTATAGTTTCTTCAGTATCCCTGTACACTGTATCTGATATCTACTCTCCTCTACCATGAACTATAGTGTATCTCAGTATCCCTGTACACTGTATCTGATATCTACTCTCCTCTACCATGATCTATAGTGTATCTCGGTATCCCTGTACACTGTATTTGGTATTTACTCATCTCCACCATGAACTGTAATATATCTCGGTATCCCTGTACACTGTATATGATATCTACTCTCCTCTACCATGAACTATAGTGTATCTCAGTATCCCTGTACACTGTATTTGGTATCTACTCTCCTCTAACATGAACTGTAATATATCTCGGTATCCCTGTACACTGTATCTGATATCTACTCCCCTCTACCATGAACTATAGTGTATCTCGGTATCTCTGTACACTGTATTTGGTATTTACTCGCCTCCACCATGAACTGTCACTAAGTCAGCAATTTAGAGTAAAATTAATAACTGTTATCTCTGATAGGAAATACATAATCCACATTAAATGGCAATCTGTAAAAGGTCATGGGATGATGACGTGCACTTTGACCCCTACCCATGCACATAGGGTTAATGTTTTGGACATATTTACTTCTATTATGTATCTTTTACATTGACAAGTCATACGTATGAAATGTTCTCTTTAATCTATCTTTGAACTAGACAAGTTACAAACTCCTCTGAGCACTCATTTTCTGTCCATAAGCAGTGTTGGTTTTCATGATTTTTAAAAGCCATACCTCTCTAAAAGCTGAACAGCATTTTTCTTGAGCAACTGCTGGCACCTGTACTCCTGCCTTATGTTTGTACATGGTATTGTTCAAATGGTAGGCCCATGTCTTCCACACAGAACTATTACTAATTGACTATTTTGTGAGCGTCCTGTTCGTTTCGATACTAGTAGATACTACAAGAGCTGTATTTATATATGTGGGATCATATATGTAATCAAAAGATTTCATATACATGTATCAGTGTATGAACTATATGATTGTAAACCGTTATTAACTGTATATCTGTGTTTATCTTTATATGTACAAGTACTCTTTAAATTTCAATTTTATCTTTATATGTACAAGTACTCTTTAAATTTCAATTTTATATGAATTCCATGAAACTGTATCATAACCTTTGTACCTAAGGTTCAAGTTTTGAGAAGGACACATCTTCAATGATTCAACATGCATCTCCATTTTAGTTATTGAATTTTACATAGCTTGAATGTTGGGACTATGAAATTCAACAAATTATGCTGACATTATTAAGACAGTAGTTCAGTTGTTATTGTTTTTTAAGTGTTTCGAGAAAACTGTTTTAGAGATTTGAATGTGACATTTTATTATCTGTTTGTTAACTGTTACATTTTTTTAAATTGTCACTAAAAATTTTCTTATTTTTTGTTATTTTAAGATGAACCCAATTTGATTGTGCCATCAGATGATGCCTTTCTGATTCGATTTCTAAGAGCTCGAAAGTTTGATTATGACCGTGCCTTCAGACTTATAAAACAGTATTATACATTACGTGCCAACAATCCTGAGCTTTTCAAAGATTTTGTGCCTTCTGCCCTGAAAGATGTGTTTAGTGCTAACATTGAAGGATTTCTACAACACCGTGATCCCGAGGGTCATGCCATCTTTGTAATCAGAGGAGGTAAAAAGTATTTATGTATTGTAGTTTGAAACATTTACAAAAATGTATACATTTTCTTATACGAAATACCAGCCACGATATGTTCATGATGTCAGAAAAACACGTAGGTTTAAGAAGTTTGGATACAAGATAATAAAAACCCTATAACCCAAGAATTCCCAGTTTGCCCTTGAAAAAAAAAAAGGTCTACCTTTCGAAAGCTCAGCCACAATATGTTGTTATTATTATTAAAAGTCTAAATTTTGTGAGTTCAGTAGCCAAATGTCTCAGAGTTTTTAAATGTGATTAAAAATGGATTTGATATCTATTTACTATTTCAGAAATTCTGTGATTTTTTTTTAAAGGTTATTAACCTATATATGATTTTAGTGCATGTGGCCAACAAATGAAAGTTTAGTAGTTGCACAAAAACTTCTAGATGATATGATGTGTGTGTAATGTAGTAAGACTTGAGAGGTAAAGGTCTTATTTCATATTCACTTATTTCAAAGTTAACCTGACAATCTATGAAATTTGTTATTCCAAGCTTTAAGATAAGAGATGTTCTTTTTCTACTAGGTGTTTGGGATCCAACAAAGCACTCGGCAAATGAAGTCTATAGGGCTAACCTTTTGTGTCTTGAAAAGGCAATTGAAGATCCTGCCACTCAAATCAATGGTATCATTGCACTGCTTGACCTCAAAGAGTTTAGTTTTTATCACATCAGGCAGATGAGTCCAGCACATTGTCGAAGAATGGTGCTTCTAATACAGGTAGCGTAATCAAACATAAAAATACACAGACATCTGCTCTTGACAGACACTGAATTAGGTTGTAGTACATGGTGCTTCTAATACAGGTAACATAATGAAAATACACAAACATTTGCTCTTGACAGACTTCTTTGAACTAGGTTGTAGTACATGATGCTTTTAATACAGGCAGTATAATAAAACATGAAAATACACAAACATTTGCTCTTGACAGACTTCTTTGAACTAGGTTGTAGTACATGATGCTTCTAACACAGGTAGCATAATAAAACATGAAAATACACAAACATTTGCTCTTGACAGACTTCTTTGAACTAGGTTGTAGTACATGATGCTTCTAACACAGGTAGCATAATAAAAAATGAAAATACACAAACATCTGCTCTTGACAGACTTCTTTGAACTAGGTTGTAGTACATGATGCTTCTAATACAGGTAGTATAATAAAATGTGAAAATACACAAACATTTGCTCTTGACTGACTTCTTTAAATTATATTGTAGTACGTTTTTTATTTGTCTTTAAATACATCTAAATGAAAATATTGAAAACTTGACTTTTTTAATTAATACCATATCAATAACATCAGCTAAATTATAGGTTGGTATTTGTAGATTATGAAGTGCTCTCATACAAAATATAGAGCAATAAAGAAGTTAGTAGAGATATAATTATCTCTCTATTAGTAAATATTAAATGTACATAGCTCGTACATGACTGACTTGATTGTAGTATGGAAAGTTAAATAAACATACTGAACCTAATCTTCTAAAACTCACTAGTATAAATCTTCACAGTATGTCTTATTTGGTTGTCTTAGATAGGTGTATTTACACCTGAAGCACCTAAATCAACTTCAGGTTTCAAGGTTTGTTTATTATGTATTTTCTACATGCGTTTTTTTTTTGTACGATGTTAGGTTGTGCATACCTTTAATCTTTCTTTATCTGAGCCAATCTACAAAACTCTTCTGTTTGGTTTAATGGAAAAAAAAATTAGTCCTAAATAATTTGATTATAATTATTGTATAGAATGTTTACTGTATGGAAGTACTAAACAGAATTGTTTATTTTGTAAAAAACAGTGACATCTCAGCTGCTGGCGTTGGTTACATTTCCTTGTTGATGCCGTGTTCATTTGCAATTTATTGAAGTTTACCACATTTTTAAAAAGGCTTAAGGCACAACTCTCATGCTGTACAGGAATTATTTTATACAACACATGCAATATTGTTTTAGTATTCACATTGATGTAGAGTATAATAAATGAATGGTGTGTTTTGAGGTGAAGCATCTTTGTAGGAGGAAGTCTTTGAAGGTAAGACATCCTTTGCTGCCATCCCGTTGGCTCAGTAGTAAGTTTGCAGGCTTATGACTACAAATCAGGATTTGATTCCTGTGATAGGCACAGCATAAATAGTCCATTGTGTTGCTTTGTGTTTAGCAACAAAACATACTAACTAACTGTAAAAGCAAAAACCTTATTTCAGAAAACACTTTTTAGTAAATCCTGCAACTCTTAAAGATATAAATATTTTAAGGATTGCTTTTTAACACGACCAGTAACTAAACTTTTTGTAAATAGGATTTAAATCAAGTTTTGAGTTTACCTTTTTAGTGTAAGAACATAGAATACCTGTCTTGTTTTGTGAATATGTAAATAAGTGGGCCTACTTCTTTAATTTACAGTAACTCACTTAACAATAATTAGTTAGATTAGAAAGAATAACTTATTTTATATAAAATATGTACAATTAATAATCTACGTACTTTGTTTCTATGAACTGAAGAACTGTTTCCCGGGTCGGTTTAAAGGGATCCACATAATCAATGAACCAGCGGTGTTTGATATCTTGTTTGCACTGGTGAAACCTTTTCTTAGTGAAAAGCTGAAAAACAGGGTATGTGATTTTTTTCTTCAGAAATACCACTACAATTTGGGCATGACTGTCATAGCTACACTGTACTTAGTAAGTAATAATATATCCATCTAGTTTCAATGATAGCTGTTGATCAGTAGAATAAGGCAGTATACGAGCAAAAGCACTCTTTAGTACCGAAGCTGTTAGCTAGCAAAATAAACCTTGTTTATTTTAGGTATTTTCTCTAGAATTTTTAATTGCAACGAATTGATCAGGGGTGTTACAAAAAGATTACTTTTAAAACTTTCTCTGAGTAATGATTTCAAGAAGGAAGATGTAATAGATAAAGATTTATATGGTTGAATTTTTCCTTTTTTTTTTGGTACAGAACACTTTTTGTATCATTTTCATTTATACAGCTATAATTGTTTGTCAGAGGACACAAAACAATTTTTTTTTTATTTACTCCATTAGCATTAAAATTTAACTGTTGTGTCTTCTTCAAAGACCCAAGATTTGTATGGCATCAAAGACATATCTTTTGTAATTGTTGGCAATGAATCATTGTTTTAGCCTATTTGCATTTCTGTTAATTGAATAAGTTTTTCTTTCCTTGAAACATAAAACAATTCCTAGCAGTAATTTAATAAGTTTAAATTGTTCTCAAAACAAGATATGGTTAGTATATTATATATGTGCAAGCATGATACCATTAGTGAATACTGACATTTATATATGAAAAAATAAAAATGCATAATAGTGAGATTTGAGATGTATCATTGTATATATCGTCTCGAGTATAAATACAATCCGTGAACAAAAAAAACTGAAACTTTTAATTTACCTTTACTGCAGTGCATGAGCAAGATTAAATTTTTCACTAATCAATTCTCTTTTTTTTTTCAAAATTTCTATCACTTAGGTGCTTTCTGGGATAACAAAGTACCTGTGCAATTCAGTTTGGGTGGCAAAAATAAATGGAACTCTGTTTGTTTGAAACAGCTGATACAGTAGTCATCAACATATATGTGACTAAATAAAACTACATAAATATATATATATACGTTTACTATCATCTCGTTTCATTCTTAAATAACATACCTTAACAGGTTCCCACTCATTTGGAAAAAATTCCCCTAGCAGTTTTCTTCCAGCACTAAATTAACACTGACACTTTTTGACAATTCTGTTTGTTGCTAGACTTCCACTGATAAAGTATAAACTTGAACTGGGTACTTGTCTGTGTTGTTTTAAGGCTTCATTCTAATAACTCAGTTACTTAAAACCTCACAATGACTTAAAACAACTTTTCATCAGTCTGGTGAGATGGATACCAAGTCTTTTAGTCTGGTGAGTAAAAGATAGAAAAATATCATACACGTATAATGCACTTCACAACTATATAAAGCCTAGTCTTGTTTTTGTCCAGGGTTATTGACGAGGAGTGGAATTTGTAGTTTACAAATTAGTTTATTTGTAGTCTCACAAATAACAGTTTCTTAGAATTGAAAGTGTTCTGTAATTTACTAATAGTTTCTCAAAATTGAAAGTGTTCTGTAATTTACTAATAGTTTCTCAGAATGGAAAGTGTTGTGTAATTTACTAATAGTTTCTCAGAATGGAAAGTGTTGGAACACTTTCCATTCTGAGAAACTATTAGTAAATTACAAGTAATTTAATGTATCTAAACATGATCACCTTAGCCCAATTAACTAAGTTGGGGCCGAAGCAAGTTAAACAAAAACAGTTGACATACTTTATTTATTGGTTTCCAGCATGCATCGTGCCTTCTGATATATCCAAGAAGATGTATTTTGGACACTTCTAACTACAACCGTGAACTTTTTCCTTATCGTACCTCACATAATGGACCTTGAAGTAAAAAATGCTAGACTTTGGGTGATAACTTAAAGGAGAAGTACTGAAGGATTAGTAAAACTAATCAGAATCAGATCTTCCTTTCTTCACAACTTGTCTGGAAAGCTGACTCAGCTCTACTATTAGCCACTTTGTTCATATTAATATTTTTTTATTAAAGTAATTAATGTAAGCCTAACCGTAATGTCACTATCAGTGAATGATATTACATACATTCTTCTCTACCTTTTCTATTAACTGGACTTTACAGGAATTCTGGGAACTGGATTACACTGAAATGATCTAAAGATGGTGTTCTTGCAGAACTCACCTTTTACACTGTATTCATACATTGAAAAATATTGTGAAACTGATTGGAGTCTCAAGCCCAGCCAGTAACATACAAGTTTGCACTCCATTCTCGTACTCCCGTTAAGTGGTAAATTAAGAGTTGCCACTGAATAGATGCTGGTGCTCTTAGAAAAGTACATCAGCTGAAAAAATGGGAATTATTACCATTATAATTTTAATATTGAATGAATATATATACCCCACATTTTATATAGGTTCTTATAATCTGAAACGGAGGAACTAACAATCGTTTGAATACACACACACACGATATGGGACGTAAGTATGAGGAAGAGTTCTGAAAGTTTTGTTCAGCAGTTGCAACTTCTCTTTCGCACCATGTTCATGCATTGAAAAATAGAAGTCTGACAAATGTTGTGAAACTAATTGAAGTCTCAAGCCCCAGGTTTTGTAGAAAAGCACAAACCATTCAACAAACACTATTATTAGAATTTCTTACAACTGTTTAGTTTGAATTTTATACATTACGATAACATCTTTTATTTTTGTTCTATCCATTTATTTTCTTCATTGATATATATATATATCGTGTATTTTGGACACTTCTAACTGCAACCATGAACTTTTTCCTTATCGTACCCACATAATGGACCTTGAAGTAAAAAATGCTAGATTTTGGGTGATAACTTGAAGGAGAAGTACTGAAGGATTAGTAAAACTAATATCTTACTATTTAACTTCAGATAATAAGATTATTTTAAGCTTAGCTAACATACACGCAATATCTATGTACATATATAAGAATTTAATCTTCACAATTTTTGCTATTGACGAAACTCGAAATTGTTTTACAATTAAACTATTGACCCCAAGATCACCCAAGTACTATATAATTCACAATCTTACTAGTTTAAAATTCACTGCATTACTTTTGGTTGTATGTATAATTGTCTAATTTGATTGTTAAGTTGGTGTGCTTAAAAGCTACGAAAAGTAACAGAAGATTTTAATTTGTAATGAAGCCACAGTTGTAGAATGAAACTTTTTTTGTGTGTGATATATATTGTGGGATAGTGTAAAAAAGAAATGTTGTCAAGTTATTGTTATGATTGTCAAATTATGAGTTATAGTTATTACTTTGGAGACTTTTTTTTTGTATATAAATTGGTGTTCTACAAAACTTTTTATCCTTCCTCAGATTCACTTCCATGGTGAAAACCTACAGTCACTTCACGAGCACTTTCCACCATCAATTCTGCCAGCTGAGTTTGGAGGTCAGTTGGGACCTTTTAACAACCAAGAATTTGTGAACCAACTCCTTGCTGATGAACACAAGTTCCAAGACTACCTTCAATACGGCTATCACTCTGAGGTGACTCCTGAAGGTGGAGAAGGCGGAATCAGATGACTGTTGGTACGAAATACATGCATTAGCTATCAGAACAATATCATTTTATAGTATCGTATGGATATGTTCAAAATACACCTTTCTTGATATAATCTTACAGGTAAATGCATTGTGGGTGAAAGAAATATCTTGATCACACATTAGAATCTGTCGAGTGTTGTCTTTTCCAAAGATGAAATATACTTGAAATCATGTAAATATTCAGGGTGCAAGGTGCTCATGTTAAACTTTCAAACATTCTCGATATCTCCAAAGATCCTATTTTTACAAAAGAAAAAAATATTTTGAACAAAGAAAAGTAAGTAGCAGAACAATTTCTAAATAATAGTGAAAAAAAACAACAGGTGTATGGTTCACATTATTGCATTGAGGTTTACTGATATAAAGTTTGAAACAAATATTTTG